GGCCTGACAACAATGCAAACTTTGATAAGTAGTTCTGGATAATCACTTCTCAACGATTATTTGTTATTATTACAGTTTAACATTATAAAATTAACAAAAATAATATAAAACTCATATTCTGGCAAAATAGCCACATGGCAGCTGAAAACCGTATATTCCCTTCCTGTTCTCCCACCTGTTCGTGCATTCTTTCCAAAAATCAGGACTTTTTTAACATACCGCAGGACATGGGACAAATTGTTGAAAAGCGGGACGTCTGGTCACCCTAAGTATGATGGAGCCATGTGGGCTCAGGAGACAGGAGTATAGTGGATCCATGTGGGCTCAGGGGAGAGTGAGTATGGTGGAGCCATGTGGGCTCAAAGAACAGGAGTATGGTGGAGCCATGTGGACTCAGAGGAGAGGAGTATGGTGGATTTATGTGAGCTCAGGGGAGAGGATTATGGTGGAGCTATGTGGTCTCAGGGGAGAGGAATATGGTGGAGCCATGTGGTCTTGGGGGAGAGGAGTATCATGGAGCCACGTGGGCTCAGGGAAGAGGAGTATTGTGGAGCCATGTGGGCTCAGGGGGAGGAGTATGGTGGAGCCATGTGTGCTCAGGGGAGAGGAATATGGTAGAGCCATGTGGGCTCAGGGAGAGGAGTATAAGGGAGCCATGTGGGCCCAGGAAAGAGGAGTATGATGGATCCATGTGGACTCAGGGGAGAGGAATATGGTGGAGCCATGTAGGCACAGGGGAAAGGAGTATGGTAGAGCCATGTGGTCTCAGGGAGAGGAGTATAGGGAGCCATGTGGGCCCAGGAGAGAGGAGTATGGTGGATTCATGTGGACTCAGGGAGAGGAATATGGTGGAGCCATGTGGGCACAGGGGAGAGGAGTATGGTAGAGCCATGTGGACTCAGAGGGGAGGAGTATGGTGAGGCCATATGGGCTCAGGAGAGAGGTGTATTATGGAGCCATGTGATCTCAGGGGAGAGGAGTATGATGGAGCCACGTGGGCCCAGGGAGATGAGTATGATGGAGCCACGTGGGCTCAGGAGAAAGGAGTATGGTAGATTTATATGAGCTCAGGGTAGAGGAGTATGATGGAGCCATGTAGGCTCAGGAGAGAGAAGTATAGTGGATCCATGTGGTGCTCAGGGGAGAGGAGTATGGTGGAACCATGTGGGCTCAGGGGAAAGGAGTATGGTGGAGCCATGCAGGTTAAGGGGAGAGAAGTATGGTGGAGGATGTGGGCTCGGGGGGAAAGGAGTATAGTGGATCCATGTGGGCTCAAGGGAGAGAAGTATGGTGGAGCCATGTGGGCTCAGGGGAGAGGAGTATGGTGGGGCCATGTGGGCTCAGGGGAGAGGATGGCAAGTGAGGAAAGCACCAAGGAATCAGTGGGATTTAGATAAACAAAGGAGAGGAGAGAGAGAAATGTAGGGAGGGAGAATGGTATGAGGAAAGCCTCAGAGGCAGGGAGTTTAAAGTGAGCTGAGGAAAGAGTGGGTGGTCAGTGGGGTGGTTTGTGCACGAACAGAGTATGAAAGCGCCAGGAATCAGGCCGGGCCTGAGCACCAGGTTCCACCAGCAGTGGGAGCTATGGAAGATGCCTGGGAAGGCCCTTCCTCCCCCTGGCCAGGTCAGGGATTCTACATCCCTCTGTACAGCAAGATAAGCAGATGTATTTAAAAATGAAACCCAGAAAGAAAGCTTATCTGTACATGTGTAAAACTAAGTCCTTTAGTTTTCTTTATACCAGAGCTGTAGCAATATGATTAGAATGAGAGATCATTCAGAAAACTGATAGGAAAACCTCTTTGCTGTCACTGAGGGAGAGAAGTAAAGGGCCTCTGGTGGGATGTAGTGTTGCCACCTTTCAGGTGCGTGGCTAAGGTACAAAGAGTTGAAGTGATGTGCCTGAGACCGCAGGCGAGTCGGACTTCATATGTACAATGCTCTTTCAGAAACATTTTAACTGGGGCTGTGTGGTTCCCCAGAAACTCGCCTCTGCAGCATGTTTTGCACCTCCCTTCCTCCCCCATCCCCCATCCCCCCACATCTCCTGCTCTGCTGTCCCTGGGAGTTGATGGCTTGTGGTGTGTCACCCTTGCTAGTGTGTTGGTTGCCAGGAAATAGAGGGCCTGATGCCAAC